ACTAGACATGGAACGCCATTTACCTTCCCACCGAGGTGGTCCCTATTTATCTACTCGCATTATGTACTTACAGGGAAACAAATGCTCCATTGGGATGATCTTACTATATTTTAGAGCAGTAATGTGTGCCCATAATATCCATGGGAAACATCTCTGAGAATAATTTATGTATTCTAAAGTTTTCAAGCCCTTCTTTCAGGGAACATTTTCCACAAGATGGTGCTCTTCTCAGTGGCTGGCTGAATGTTTTCCTATTTCCTATCACAGCAGTGATCAGGAAACTGAGGAGGAAAGAGGAAAATAAACAGCTGTTTCACTCCTCTTGCTGCTGTAGTATATTGGCATCTGGCTGATATTCTTTGCTGACTAATAACTAAGGCTAAGTGATAGCTGGACAGTGGAAGATCAGGAAACTGAGGAGGAAAGAGGAAAAGAAACAGCTGTTTCACTCCTCTTGCTACTGTAGTATATTGGCATCTAGCTGATATTCTTTGCTGACTAATGTAATAACTAAGGCTAAGTGATAGCTGGACAGTGGAAAAGCCATGCTCATGGAGGTAACCTCAGCAGATATAACAAATGTAGCTTTTATCCCCTTTATTCCCTCTTTGTGGATCTAATGTACATGAATATTGACCACAAATATCCCATCTTCACAACAAGCTAGAAATAATGGAAATACATGCCTTCGGTGTCTCTAAATAGTGAAAGTGCCCCTCCTTCCTTTCAGATTCATAACAGAAACAATGAGAGGATCCTCATTAGAAATCTATATTTTCTTCTTTGGTTGCAATTTTACACCAAGCTCTGATTGTATTTACCCTGGTATCTTCCTGTATGTTAATTGGCTCTTCCTTTTTGAATCTAGGGCCTCCAGGTATAAAGGGCCAGCCAGGCCGTTGTGGGATTCCAGGTAAACCTGGACCACCTGGACCAAAAGGAGAAAAGGGATTTCAAGGACAAAAAGGTAGTATAATGTAAACGAAAAAAGCTATGTATTCATTTTGGGCAAGAAAGCATTGCCCAGAGAGGTCATTAGATTATTTGTAGCACTGTGAACCTAATTAGAATGAAAAAAAGACCATGGTTGCATTTATTACAAGAACATATTTGCACGTTCTGAATAGTCTTGGTGTGGTCTCTTGAAATATGGCATGCTATGGTATGCAAATTCAACTATGCTACCAACCCATGGTTTGTCAAGCAGCTATAAATATAATTTGGATTTGTGGCTTGTTGTTAGCTTATACAGTGCACCCTGTTTAAATCATGGTTCCAGTGGCCCAAAACCACCTGGTCTCGCTTGTTGCTGAGTTTATCCACAACTTCACACCAAGAAGTAGGAACTGATAAAGGGGACAGGAGAAAGATAGTCCCGAAGAGGAGAAAACAATCCACAGTTTCTCTAGTAATCTGTTTGCAAATATGTGGCTTAAGCAAAACAAAACACTGTGCCTAACATGAACTATCACATCTTGTAATGTTCAACCACACTCATCAATTGTAAAAGTGCCTAAAATTTGGAAAACATATATTTATGGAAAATAGATCTATAGTATTCATTTCCCTGGTATGATATAGCAAATCTAAGAGAGAGTTCTAGTAGTGTCTTTCTTTTTCTAATGTATCTAACGTACAGTAGCTTAAATGTCTTGATATTGTAGTCTCATATTTTCTCAAGTATAATGTAGTAGAGAGTGTTTTTCACATACAGGTACACACTGGAAAATATATGTAACTTTTTTGCTCAATTGTTATTAATTCATTCATAGGTTTACCAGGATTGCTTGGGTTTCCTGGAGTAGAAGGACTTCCTGGACTCCCAGGAATTTGCTTACCGGGTCCAGCAAAAAGGGGCTTCATCTTTTCTCGGCACAGCCAGTCAACAGAAATCCCTGTGTGCCCATCTGGGACAGCCCAAATCTATGGTGGTTATTCTCTGCTTTCTATACAAGGGAATGAGCAAGCACATGGACAAGACCTTGGTACTTCTATAAATGCATGCTTTCAGTTCTTTAATAATAAAATATAACTATGCTTCCATGTTGGCTGACTTACAGTCACCCTTGCTGGGGGGGTTAGGTATAAAGTACTCAGAAGATGCTAATCAACCCTTTTTTCTGATGGCACTCTGGGCTATTCTTTTGAAAGGAGCAATGAGGAATTGTATGGCTGACCACTGGCTTTACAGTCAGGTACTTTAACCCACTCAAAGACTCCCTGGAAAAGACCCTGATGTTGGGAAAGTGTGAAGGCAAGAGGAGAAGGGGATGACAGAGGACAAGATGTTTGGACAGTGTCATGGAAGCTACCAACATGAATTTGGCCCAACTCTGGGAGGCAGTGGAAGACAGGAGGGCCTGGCGCGCTCTGGTCCATGGGCTTACGAAGAGTCAGACAGGAATTAATGACTAAACAACAACAACTCTAACCCATTAAGCTTACTTATACCTTTATCAATGAGATTTTTCTGCCTAAAAGGACAGTCACATCATCTTTATTATGCAAAAGCTACTCTTTCAGTGGCAAGCTCTGTCAGCACAACTCTATATGTGTGTACCTGAAATTCCTGTTGTATTCAGTGGGGCTTGTTATTTGCTATCAAGTCATTTGTGACTTATATTGACCTTAACAGGGATTTTAAGGTATTTCAGATGTTCAAGGAGTGGTTTACTATTTCCCTTCCCATTCGGGGCTCATGACCCATCCTTGTTTTGGAAAGCAATTTCACTTGATGAAAATCTCTGGCTAGTAATTTCTGCTACCAAATGCATTATATCTTTTCTATAGAAACTTCAGTGAACACTCTGATTTCTGAATTGTGGGAAAAGTTACTGCAACATTGGCTTCTTATGCTTTCATTTAGGTCATTTAGGGCTATTTTAATTTAATGTGAATCTTCCTTCTATGCAATCACTCTTGGTTAAGGACTGTGCAAGGATGGTCCAAAGGAATAGTGGAGGAATATTTTAAGGAATACCTTAAAATATTTCCTGCTCTCTCAACTTTCAGTCTTAATGTATTAATGTTCTTTATAGCATCAGTTAAATTCTTGCCCTTCTATTAAAGGACTTAGTTCCCCTTTGCTCCCTCAGTTCTCTTCTTTTCAAGGACCCCTCATGACAGTTCTCCTATACAGTCTATGGCCTTTTTACATCCCAGTACTTATAAATTCATTTTTACAGCCTTTCTTTAAAAGCTGTAATAGAATACAGAGTTAATTTTACCTTCTCTTCTAAATTTTCCAGGTACAGCTGGTAGCTGTCTTGCAAGATTTACCACCATGCCCTTTTTATTATGCAATCCCAATAATATATGTAGATTTGCTTCCCGTAATGACTATTCGTACTGGCTGTCGACAGTGCAAGCAAGGCCTGAGGATATGGAACCAATTTCTGGGAGAGCTTTGGAACGTTATATTAGCAGGTAGTCTTTCATGATAGGATTGTTTTTCTAGCTGAGTCTCTATATAGATGTATTAGAAGCTGGTGTTAAACATGCATCAAATTAGAATGTGTTTAATTGCCTAAATCAAAGCTCTGCTGAGATTTCTGAAACATTGGCTGAAATCCCTTTACCTTATTATACTGGCATAGCACAAATATTTTGCATGCAAATTGCCCCAAGTTAAGTAATCACGAAATACATTAATTATATACTGAGTTGTATGGCTCAGTATGCTGCTGGTAATGTCCTCAGTAACTTCTTAACTTGGGGCAATTTCCCTCTAAGGGTTACATTGTTTGCATAGAGGATTTTGTCTATTCTGTTGTATAATGCTATGGGGAAGGTGCATCCAAAATGAGGTGATGAATGAACTTCACAACACACTAAGTAAAGTGGATGCTTGGGGGGGGGAACTGTTATAGGTAAGTGGTTGTGCTTAATCTTAAATATTGTCAGAAATGTGCATGTGTGTACTTGCTTACTATATTTCTTTCTGTCTCCCTGATTTGGCAGAATGTCTCTCCTTTGTGAAAGGTGCTCCTATTTTTCCAAATGTTATTATATCCCCTTTAGTGGGCAAAAAAGTGTTCCCACAGTAGGATCATGCTCTTTTTGAACAAACATTCAGGTGTCCAATATGACAATATGACTGGCAATGAATGCAGGAAAAGGGGAGAATGGATATCATTCCTCAGAGACTAAAAGTCAGTGTATACGCTATAATTGTTCCGAATTCTTGTTTTCCCCTTCTTTATCACTTAATAGTTTTGTATGACTTCTTAGGTGCACGGTCTGTGAAGGTCCTGCAATGGTCATAGCAGTCCACAGTCAAACAACTTCAGTTCCACCATGTCCTCAAGGCTGGCAATCTCTTTGGAAAGGATTTTCTTTTGTTATGGTAAAAAAGCAAAAATAAATGCAATCACCCCACTTTTGTCGTAAAACCTCATTAACGCTGACGGGGTAAAGTGGATGCTTCTTCCTAAAAGTGAATCACTTCCTAAAAGTGACTAGTCAGAGCAATTTAAATTTTTTATCTCAAATGTTGTCTTTTTGGTGCTCCATCTTGGTTTCAGCTTTTCTGCAATTGTTCTGCCTGCAATGAGCCAAAACATGGAAAAGGCAGGCTGCTCATTCTTTGCATTTCCTGAATAAAGTCAGTTTCAGCTGATTCTAAAGACAGTCTTTGTAGAGTGCATGTTGCACTTTAAAATGTTCAAAACGGCATCAGTACTGATAAATTTAGGAACAGATGCAAAGCAAATGATGAGCTCAAAATTTATGAGAAAAGAGTTTGTTCAGAACTTAAAGATCTCTTACGGTCATATAATCATTTCAGTAACCCTGTTTTGTTTTCTGTTACCCAAAACAGCAACTTAGAAAACAAAGTAAGAGTTGACTTAAAACTGGTTCAATTGTAATCAAGTTATTATAGCCCTAAACAAAAACAGCAAAGGTTTCTGATACCTCAAATGGTAATACATTGGCTGAAATTCTGTTGCTTAGTGATAGCAAATTGCTCTAGAGTAGGCCCATTGAATCAATGGACACTTGGTGAGTTGCTTCCTCCATAAGTTCCATTGATTCAGATGCACCTACTCCAACTGTGATTTACCTTAGCATAGTAAGTAATTGGATTTCAGCCAATATGAAAATTTCCAGGGATTGGAAGAGCTGTGTCAGTCTGTTGCAGCAAAAACAGCAAAGAGTCCGAAGACAAACAAGTTTTATTTAGCATATGCTTTTGGGCTTACAGTCCTTGAAAGTGTGTGCTAAATAAAATGTATTAATCTTTATGGTGCCGTAAGACTCTTTGACACCGGTCTTTACTAAGGTAAATAGTACAGTATTTATTTGTTAGTTTTCATGGAGGAAGTTAATAACACAATAAACTGTGTTAGTAATTAATGTACATCAGCTCTTGATTTTTGCTGCAGCAGACGAGCACAGCTGTTCCCTCTTCTCTCAAAATGCATCTTAGTCATCCTCATTGCCTTACCAGTTATTCTGTCCTTACAGAAGAGCTGTTCCAGGAATCAAAGAAATAATATGCAGCTGTAGTGCTTTACTTCCTTTGATATTAGCCCAACCTTTTTTCAATGCGTAGTCATTTTAGCATGAGCTTTTGTGGACTGTATATCAAAGTGGGTTGATTTCATGGTTTAACACATATATTATTGGCTGAAAAGATAAACTACTGTAAAAAACTAGCTTGTGATAATGTCTTGGGGCCTCCATGTCCTGGAATAAACTAATTTTGATACAAATGCCTAATACAACATTTTTAAAATAGACATGTATTATCTTCAAAAATTTAGTGATGAACAGGTTTTCATGGAAGATATTTATGGTTATAGTATACAGGTGCAGGCTCAGAAGCTTCCGGACAAGCATTGGCCTCTCCAGGGTCATGTTTAGAAAAATTCCACGCAATTCCATTTATTGAATGTCATGGCCGAGGGACGTGCAATTATTACTCAAACTCCTACAGTTTCTGGCTGGCTTCACTAAATCCAAGAAGAATGTTCAGGTATGCTAATTTGTACTATGCATAGATCCTTCTGCCCAGAGCATAACAGAACAACTGACATATTTAAACAAAACAAAACTTGCAGTCTATGAAAGTGGTACCTGTGTCACTCATATGGACTGTCACTGATTCCCAACCATGGGTAATTCAGGTGTTCATGGACTGCAACTCCCAGAAATCCCAGCCAGCACAGCTAGTGGTGGAGGCTTCTGAGAGCTGTAGTCCAAGAATACCTGGGTTACCTAAGGTTAGGAACCACTGGACTAAATGACTACTTTGATCTCTCCCATCTCTAGAGTTCTATGATTCTGTGATCAGTATTAAAGTTAATACAGGTGTGCAGTGACCTTCTGTGCCCTACCCTGTCTCATCCTGTCAGTAATTACGTAACATTATCTAAACAGCAGTACTATGCAAGTACTATGGTAGTGTTACCCTATGCCAGCATTAAGATTGGAATGGAAAATCCTGTGAGCCATTAGAAAAATACAGCAACACTTAAAACTGGCTATTAATTTGGCTACCTCTATTGTAAAGTGTCTGTTTCTTCATTAAAATATGGTAGACAGCACTCTTCAGAGCATAACAATGTAATTATTTCTGAATTATTGCAGCTTGAGACTATATCAATTATTCTCATCCAGCTGGATTTCAAAGATGCTGAATCTGTCTGTCTTCGCTTAATGTTAGCATCCCTTTCCAGTTCCTGCTGTCACTTGACGAAGAGGGTTTTTTTATCACACTGATAATATCAATGTATAATTCTTTGGTAATTGTTTGCTATTATGTGTCCTGCTTAGCTAGATCAAGAGTAGGCAAAGTGTGGGGTGTATGTGGCTCCCGATCTTTAACCAGGGTTTGCCTGACAAACTCTGAAAAACTGTCACTCACATGGGAAACTGCATTCCTAGAAGCCTTGTGGGTGGAAATGGTAACTCTCCTGGTTTGTTTTAGGTCAGGAATAGGATTTTTGGAAGGAAGGAAGGAAGGAAGGAAGGAAGGAAGGAAGGAGTTATTAGTTGATCACTTGCTCTTTGTAAAAAAAAATTTAAAATGGTCAGATGTTTTCTGACTTAAAACAGAAATTGCATTTAAATGGCAGACTGGAGCTATTGGGCCTTGGAAGTGCAAATTACAAGTGGGAAGGGTGAGTTATTTTGCAGTTGAGGGGTAGAGCCTACCCAAATCTAAAAGACACCTGTGTCTACGAAAATGGTCCCTGGATGTCCAGAAGTTACTCATCACTAAGCTGGGTATTTTGTATGACTGGCTGATCATTACTATTTTTTCCTCCATATTGAATCACTATCATCCTACCCTACTTGTTAAAATAAGGAAGTATCCTTGTTTTTACATTGTATTGTTCTTTCCTTTCAAGGAAACCATTGCCACAGACTCTGAAAGCTGGTGAACTGGAAAAAATAATTAGTCGCTGTCAAGTCTGCATGAAGAGACCTAGCTAAGAAAACTATTATCAAAAATTAAACTCCTTTTGTGGCACAGTGAAAAACTAAACCTTACCAAAAAGATTTTATAGTGTGACTTAACAAAAGGCAATCTGTATTTATATTATAAACTTGAAATACCGATGCTTTACCATAATGAAATAGTGCAATATTTTGATTCTTTTATTTCTGATAAAGATGCAAAGCACTTTTTTTTTGAAAGAAAATGTCTGTACTTGCTGTTCTACAAGATTGTTGCTTTTTGAACTTTGTCATTCCTGGGTCTGTGGAAATTATGTCATAAGGTGTCAAGCCTATTTTACGTGGAAAGACTTAACAGCTGTCATCTGTGCTTTTCTAACTGTAAAATGGAGTAAACAGGGTAGTGTTGATTTACATGAATGTTGTTAAATATTAGTTAAACTGAAATAGTGGACCCATAAGGAATCAAATGGAGCTAAACAACTCCATGTGATACTTTTGAAATTTTACTAAATGTATTCATCTTGCCTGTTACTTTTCCTTTGACAAGGAAATGGGAAGTACTATTACAATAGCAGTACTGCTTTACAATTTGGAAAGGGAATGTAACAAAAGGAGTTTGTTGGATTGGTTATCCAGTAAGTACAATAGGAGTATGTTTGCATATTTTTTCATCTGATTGCCACAAGTCTTTGGTCGATTCAACTCACGGTGCAATCCTGACTAGCCAAGGTGCTGGCTGAGCTGATATAAAGCCAGCAGAGGCTGTGCTGAATTCTGGCTCCTCCCAACCTTGGGATGTTGGAAATGATTTAGAACTACACCAGCACTGGGCTACCTTTATGCCAGCATAGTAGTGGTAAACAAGGGTTGAGATGGGTTTGGATCTGGCGTAACTCATTTCTTCCCTTGTTATGCCTTTTGCTGATGTTGTGCCAACTGATCTTAAATCCAGTTGTGCCAGTACATCTGAGATCAGACCTCACAATGGGGATACACTGGCACAAAAGCAGAACAAGCTCCTGAGTCTTCCAAGCCCACTACAGTCACTGCATCTTTGAGTTTGACTTGCACTGCCTGTTCTAAAAACTGCATACCTGATAGGTATGATGTCTACAGAGCCAGCTCTGCCATGAGACAGCATGGCAATCTTACCTCAGGTGAAATGCTGTATTGAAAGATCACACACAAACACCCATTTATCATTCAAAGGGCTGCGTGCCACTAATGCAGCTGGCTGTATTTCTTCAGATGCCTGCCCATCCATCACAGTATAGCCCAATATCTACTCAAAAGAAAGATTAATTCATTTTACTAGACTTTCTCCTAGAAAACTGGCTATGTAGAGTAGCAACTTCAATTATCTCTTGCCTTCAGACTGAATCTAGATAAATTAGCCCTATTTTAGTGCTATTGACATTGAGATAAACTGTTTATTATCAACTTCGGAGGAGCCAGATGTGAAAAAAGTTATTTTCCTTGCAAGCTGCCAATGTAAATTATTATTAGCATATATGGCCAATGCACAGGTAAAATCAATATAGCCTAGTAACTTTGCAGACTTTTTCACATGGTATCATGGTATCACTTATAGGCCTGATTCTGTATGATTCTATTTTTTAAAAAAACATTAGATTTGAATGGAGGTTACATTAAGTAAATGTTATGTGATACTTCTGCTGTTGCAGCAAATGCAAAAAAAACCTCATGTCTAATTCTACCCTCCAAAATAATAGCTATACATTTTTAAAAAATTTACATACATGATAGTTGAGACTATCAGCCAAATTTATTCATAATCCATCCTGTGAATGCAGGCACCTAACTAGAATATATTTTGAGGAGTTTCAAATAGTACTATCTGGGAAAATATTTACATGGAACATTCAGTTAAATGGATTGACAATGCAACCATGTGTGTTTAATTAGAATACTCCTGAATTTCACCATGATTCAATTCCTAGTAACTGTGTTTAGAATTGTGCTTAGGTGAATTATGCTGATTAGTAAGGGAGATTCTTATCCCAACACGGTACATTTATCTGGTGCTGAAAACCTACTGCAAGGTATATACAGTTCCTGTTGAACCTGATATAAGAATCTAATTGGGGAGACATGTTTATCTCCATCTAGGGCTATTAGCTGCAAAGCATAACCAGAGCTACATTAGGGCATTGATATTATTATCAATAAATAATTATGTGTTGTCGAGTCAATTCCAACTTATGATGACCCTCTCAACATGTCCTAGGCATAAAGCGTCTAGAAGTGGTATACCACTCCTTCCTTCTGATGGTGCTCTGGCACCATGCAGCTTGCCCAAGGTGGCTGGGTATAATCCCATAAACTGTTTATATTCTAGTTCCTCTTGGTTGGCCCCTCTGCCAGAAGACATAATGAGGATGTAAACTCCCAGTTCTTATCTCTGTAGCTAGATACTCCAGCTCACTGAGTTATACCAGCTCTACTGTGGTTGCTGCTGCTGCTCCTGCAATTATTAGTTTCACCAATTATTATTATTATTATTACTAATGTATAATTTATGTATAGAACTGTAGTTCTAGATGTTTTATATTTATAATGTTGCACTTGAAAAATAGCTGAAAATAATTATTGAAGTTAAAACTAAAGTGGCTTGCTATTTTTGATATTTGCACAATTATCAGTATTTGCAATCCTTAGCCATAAAATGACATTTCATTAGTTTTAAGATTTGTTTAAATGTATATTCAAAACACAAGGTACACAGTACAATTCTGTACTCCTCTATTCAAAGACAGGTCCCACTGCACTCAACTGAAGTTACTACCAGGTGAGAGTATTCAGGATAGCAGCCTTAGAGATCCACCAAAGTACCTTTTCCCCTCACTAATAATATGTATTTTTGCAAGCATTTTAAAAATGTAATTGCTATTTTAATGATTTAGTATCTAAATGATGTACTTCTACAGTGTAATCCTGTGCATTTGACCATGTGTATCAAATTCCATTGAGTTTTATGATGTTTATTCTCGTATAAATGGGCATAGAATTACATCCATAGCAATAACAACACTGTAAAGACATTCCAGTCCTATGACTTGATGGGAAACAAGGTGTATAGGAAGAGTTGCCAACCTTAGAATTATTGCAGTGTCACAGGTTACACAGTGGAGCACTGCACTGCAAGCAGATAATCCAGGACAAATGTTCAGGCTTCAATTCTAAATAAAATAAAATCTAAAACAGATTCATATGTTGCATTCTTTCATATGCTATTATCATGTTGAGTGTTTTTCATATTCCTTTTTTGTTGATTCATGCTGATTAGTTATATTAAGAAGCAAAAGAATCCCATGCCACAGCTGGTTGAGTGACCTTCTGTTACATAAAGCACAGATGGGAAATATAGCTGAATATTAAAGGTTGTTTTGCAATATGTTTCAAGATGGTCTTTTTAATCTCTTTTTAACAGAAGGTTATACGTAAGAAACATGCGTAAAGGTACAAAATAATATTTTTTAAAGCAGGATCAAAATCTCTTTCTAGAGTGCTAACTTTTTTAAGGGCCTGAGAAATTAAAAGATCTTTACCTGAACAAATATTGAACTAATCTTTGCTTGGCACATAATCAAAAAGATGAGTTCAGAAGTGACTAGTGAACCTCTTGGGGGAGAGTGTTGCATAGACACTGCCATTCAGTGGATGGTGCAACCAAGGGAGACATTTAAAAGCCTATAAACAGAAAGAGGAAAATCCTCAGAACTTAGAAATAGGTACCCTTAATGTGTAAAATAAGAGAAATTATGAATGTTTTAAAAAGGGACACTGGGGGGAATACTTAAGAGGAAGAGAGCAAAATATTTACTTAAAATATGTTTACCCCCCTTTCTCCTAAAAAGGACTCAAGGAAGCTAATAGAATTTTTTAAAAAATAAACAGCAGTTACCCAGCAGCGGATTACTATTTGGTGGTTCCATTACGCTTGGCAAACCAGAGCTTTGCAGGAATTGTCAGAAACAGAGTCTGTGCATTCTAAACAGATTTCCCTGACTTTTGAAGGAAGGTGGTAAACACACTGTGGACACTAGCTATGGCATCTGCATGGAATAATTTTGGTAGGTGGAAGGAGGGGAGAAATGACAACCCTTGCTGTGGTTGTGGGTTTAAGGAGCCTAGATTGTTCATTTTGCTTTTCACATTATCAGACACTTGTAGGAAAACAACCCATTGTCCCTCCACCCCAGACACCCATTGGCATATTCAATAAAGAAAGAAGGACTGGAGAGAGAGAGAAATCTGCAGATAGGTCCAGAAGGAACAGATACACATGGTTCACCTGTGGTTCGATAACTGTGTCAGTAACCAGATACTCTGCACAAGGGGTGTCAAAAATACAGGCAGCTGGATCAGCACATGGGGAGCAAGTATTAATAAAGTTAATAACTAATTGCCCATTCAAGACCAAACTACTTATACTGTATATCCTTTTATAGATGGTTTATTAGAGAAAACTCTACCGGCACATCCTCTTCTTTACTACAGTCTCTCTTCCCCTCAAATATACAATAAACTAACAGTTATCAGAGGAGATGCATAGTCTACAGGAGAGATTCTAAACCATTCTGTCAAAGACCACTGCCATCAACCTAGTGTAATGGGGTGAAAGGAAAAAACCTCCTCAGATTTACTTGCCCAGTGTTTAGAAACCCTAGAATCTGACACTAAGGGAGTCTCCACCACCACATTGCATGACATAGCAGTCATATGGTCTTGCACAGAAGATGGGAGGAAACAAGGGAAGACAAAAATCATATGCAAACATAATTTCAGGTAAAATCAGTAACATCAATCTAACTTAGGTAGTTACATGTTACTCATAATTCTTTGTGGGGTTTGCACATCATGGAGGATGTGGGGAAGAATGCACAGGACTTTGGAACATTTTACAACTTAAGCATTTTAAGATGGTGAGCCTCCAGCCAGTCTCAGCACTAATGCCTAGAGTGTGACTTTTGCCTGTACTCTCAATTTTGAACACTGATAACAGTCAGGTAAGAAACCCAAGGAGACATCAAACTTGTGGTGAAAATGAAGTTGGCTTTGTGAAAGCTAGAAAGCCATCTATCAGTTTTACTTTTATTTGGATTTCTGCACTGAGCAGAGGGTTGGATTCAATGGCCCTATAGGCCCCGTCCAACTCTATTATTCTATGGTTCTATACGACTAGTACTGCAGTTACAGTACAAGTCAGCAGTCACTTTTTTGTCTAATTTCATTACATGTAGCAGGCTGACTTATTTGATATGATCTTGCTGAAGAAGAAAAGACAGTCTTGCCAAAGGAGGCACTTATTTGATATGATCTTGCTGAAGAAGACAGTCTTGCCAAAGGAGGTGTCTTGCCTAGTTGGTGTGTGGACATTGAGGGTAGGGACCAAGTAACAGCTATGTAGAGACCAGACAAAGACACAACTTTGTAGAAGCACAGAAGAACTGGATAACTAGTCAGGATTGTCAGACAAACAACCAGTTCTTTCAGAACACATGCTCATATTAAGTAGAGTGGAATTTGGGGAGTAAGATGGGAAATACATAAAAAGAATCCTAATCTTATTTGTATGTGCCACAACAGGTGCACACTCTCAAATGTTAGGAGACTGGGTATGTTAATGGGATATTAGAGATGGATACAAATTAAAAAACAAATCACTACATTCAAAAATCACTAATTTGTCAATTTGTATTCATGTGAATCAATGGCTCTGATGAATAAATGATTTTTAGTGATGGCTGATTTGTCAATTCATTTGGCTATAAAACAGCACCTGGATACACAAAAAGTACAAAAAGTGCAAGGAACTTGTGCTACCGGCAGGTCTCACTTCTACAATCCTTCCAAGTCTGGTGAAGATTGGGTTTCAGATGTCTGAATTATACACCCACAAAGAGCCCCCCTAGGAAATTCCCCCCCCCTCGCACCTAGAGACTCTCCTCTACAATCCCTCCAAGTTTGGTGAAGATTGGGTTTCCCCAAGCCAGCTGCTAAAGGGCACTTTCCTGGGGGGACCCACTTCATGAGTGTATAACCTGGTTGTCTGAAATTCAATCTTCACCAAACTTGGAGGGATTATTGAGGAGATTCAGGGGAGGCTTTCTCTGATTTTAGTGTCTCTAGGTGCCTGGAGGCCCTCTTTGTGGGTGTATAACTCAGATGTCCAAAACCCAAACTTGGCCAGCTTGTAGGGCTTGGAGAGGAGAGTCAGAGGAAGTTTCCCTTCAGGTTTGGTGTCTCCAGGTGCTTGTGGAGCCATTTTATAGGGCTCTGAAGTAAAAATGAATTGACAAATCAATTTGTCGATTTGTCAGAAAAAAAATCATAAATTCAGAATTCGTCAACCTTGACAAATCAATAATCAAAATGAATCATCATTTTTCTGATTTGTGCACATCTCTAGGGGATATATTCAGCATAAATCACTGACTTCTTCCTGTTCATCATATCTGATCTGCTGCTGTACTCACCAGAATTTGCTGGGCACTGTTTGGTCACTTGATCATTCTTCACTCAGTCAAACTGATCACCTCTCCTTTGCCAGGTTTTAATCACTTATAGCAGGTAAATACATTCATGCAAGGCTATACCAGGTCTTGGCTCCACTCTTTGCTCTATAGATACCCTTTGTACTATGTCAAACCTTGCCTTCTAACACACCAATTTTGATTGGAAAATGATTGCACATGTAGTTCTGCTTCCTGCTTTCATGTGAAAGCCTTTTCAGAGTGAACTTTTACTTATCTTCCAGCACATTGTACAAATAAAGTAGAAGTTTAAAAAATACAAATAACCACCTTAAACAGGGTGCTATCACTGGAGATGTAATAATAATGCAAATATAGGAAAATAAAAGCTTTCTTGTATTTTCAAATTAAAAGGGCAAATATTCCGACATCTGGTGATATTCAGTGAAAAAATTTAAGAAGTTAACCACTGCTTTTGGTTTACTTTTATTAAGTACACTACCACTGGTACTTTGTTCCATAATCTTTAGATTACTCATGGACATACTTGCTTAAAAATGTATTTCTTAAGAACAAAAAAATGCAAAATTAAAGCTAAAATACATCTTACGCACACCACCCTCCGGATAATCCATTTACTTATATTAGCAAATACTGTATTTCAGTCAATATGTACATGTGCTTGAAAGAGATACGCATGAGTTAGAATGTCTTTTAATCTGGCATATTAGTGCATCAAATTTGGCTAAAATAAGACAAGTGAAATAAAGTTAACTATAAAGATGCTGCATTTAATAATGAAACAAGAATGAGAAACCCATACTTTTTGTCTGTAGAAATGTGTAAGATCCAAGTTTGCTTTCTTCCTACACCAGAGAGAACTGTCTATAGGATACCCTGCAGGAGACAATCTCATTCTTAAAATAACTCAATCCAAATGTACATCAAGTCATGCAAAAGGAAGATAACGGGATGTTACAACAAATCTGAAGAAATAAATACAATCATCCAAACATCCCTTCACACTGTAATCTTGAATTACAGCTGTTTACTGTGGCAGAAGTTTCCAGTGCGTGGGCCATAAATCACCATACAATTCAGAGACAGAAATGAAGGACTTTGTAAATTCTCAGTATCAAATTCTTTTACGTGTTGCCCACACTTCTAGCGCCGAAACCACAGCCAACTATTTAGTAGCCAGAAAGCTACAGTAATTGAATACATGATCATTTCTCTTTTAGCACGTTCTTTGTTTTCTTCTTCCAAGAGTTGTAAACGGCGATTAAGTTTGATTATCTGAAAAAGGAAAGAAAGGAAATATATTTCATCTTTAAGTATACATTGAGTCATTCCTTTAAGATCTCATCTGTTCTAGATTCAAGTGGTTCTGTCCTTGTGGTACTCTACCTCTGGAAGCATGCAACTTCGTAATAATTCTAATAGAGTCACTGAAAGCCTTCTGTGCAGCTCCACAAGCACAACAGAGATGGCACCAGGATCGGTGACAAATCACCACAGATTAAAGAGTTAAGATTCGTACAGAGGTTGCAGGCACCACAGTCTCTAATTAACAGCAATTTGGTACTGCTGTTGAAATCATCGCCATTGCACACACAGAGCTGTATAACAGGATTTTAACCTATATTTTTCAACAAGCAATTTCCATGATTCCATACATCAAGACTGTTTATTCTTCATTTTCCATACCTCTGCTGAATACAACAAATGACACTTTTGCTTCCAGTTCTCAAGACTGTTTATTCTTCATTTTCCATACGTCTGCTGAATACAAATGACACTTTTGTTTCCAGTTTAAAAAAATACTGAATGTCTGCTGTTCATTTAATATTTTTTCAGTCTTAATTTTGCCCTCCTACCTATTTGTATTACTACATCCATGACAATGTTCCTCCTTGTTGTTGTTCTTAAATGCCATAAAACCACCTCCAATTTATGTCAATCTTATGAATGAGTGACCTTCAAAGTGTCCCATCATTACGCTCTTTCCTACTTGGCTTCTTTCCCCATGCCTTCCGTATTAATTGTATCTCGTACCTATATTTGATCAATATCATTCAGTAACTGAAAATGCCAATACTGATCTCATCTGTTCTAGATTCAAGTTGACAATAAACTGAAAATGCCAATACTGACATATCATTATGCCAAACAGAAGACTTAGATCCTCATGAACAAATGGTATGCAAATTTAATGTTGTTCTCATATATTATCTTAAGAGATACCAATTTTACTAGAAAGAAAAACACATATACCACTACAAAGGCAAAAAGAGAGAGATTTTTAAAGATACCTGTCGTCTTAAAGAAGCAGCATCCACAACTGTCATATCTTCTGGAGTTCCTTCAAATGATGTATCCATATTTGATAGAGCATACCTATGTGATTAAAAAAATGAAGCTTTAATGGCATAGATACAGAGGGGAAATCAGAGTTTAAAAGAGTCAGATGGCTTTCTGTTCTGTATACATATCGGCTGATTTCAGAGGGTCCTTGCACCTTCTGAAAACCAACTCCTGCATATCATTGTAGTTTCATAGAAGTAAATTCAGTGCAAATTAAAGAAATACAACTGAAAAGGGGAAATTAGCAAATGTTCTTATGTGTGCTGTTACACAAAGGCCTATTTGGACTTTAATAAAAATATAAATACTGCTAAGAGGATTTTTTTTTCTTTCAGAAGTGCTTTATGAAGTAAGAAGATCTCCATATAATAATTTGCACATACTTCAACTTTTGTTATCTCCAGTTCCCAGTATGACAGCCACTCTCTCCTTGTAAAGGAAGCTCTCAGGAAAGAAAAAGAGGAAAATGATACCTTTGAAGGTACCCATTCCTAGGAGAAAATTTATCTTCTCATGCTGAAGACATGCCTCTAAGAAATATCCCCTCCTCACTGTGGGGTTTTCAAAATAAGATGTACACAGCTGTGACTTGCCTGTCTGGCATGCAGGTTGAAGCTGTCACACATCCTATGAATAGCCTAGTAGATGAAGTCATGGTGCATAACAATGTGGTGAAATGTAGGTGTGAGGTCACAGAAGTCAAATTAAAGTTGTTGGGGTTGAAAGCCATGATCACCAAAGGTAGGTTTTGGGGGCTGCGGGGTGGGGGGCTGGCTCTACATGTGGAAACACTTTGATTTCTCAACAACGGGATGAGATAGTAGTATATTGACTTAGATTGGTTTACATTTGTTATAAAACCATTTTTGATGAGCTCAGTAATATTTCTGGACAAGAGGAACCTGTACGAAAGGGACAGGCGCTACCTGAACAAACCGTGTAACTGTATTTAGCATCTAGGAAGTAGCCGAGCAGCTTTAAACTGATATCTGTGGGAAATGAACCAGAACTGAGAAATTTCTGATTTGGGATGAATTACTATGAAATTTAAGTCAAAATAGTTGTGGTTGTTCAAACAGAAATTGAGAAGGAACAGCCTTCCCACAAACAGTAGAACATAAAAACAGTAAAAGAAGTCAAGGAAAAACTGCACACATCACAGACATAGGGAGAGGGGCATCTTGCACTGGTGTTTCTATTCTACTACTAAAGCCTACAACCCAAGCTGGTGGAGTTTTAAAGGTTAATATGGATGCTATAGGCTAATCCGTGGGATATGGTTCTTGCTGAATGAGAAGAGCAAGGAAGGGGGCACTTAAGGCAAATTCAGTTTATATGAATGGCTTTTCAGGGGGGTTTTCCACACCAGCCATAGCTGATTGTCAATTTTTAATCCATCATTTTCCTGCATTCTTTCACTGCCAGATTATTTATTAATTGGTTTTAGTAGTTTAATTTTATTTCTGTTCTGTGCTGTTTTTATTATAAGCCACCCAGAGTAGTGCCTTGGCGCTAATGGGAGGGGGTATACAAATCAAACAAACAAATAAACAAATAAATACAATATATGTAAATTGCCTGAGAAAGATAAGATCAAAGTCCTTGGATGTACAGCATAGCTATTTTTGATCTGTTGCAGTACAACTGTGTACTGTATGTTCCTCCTTAAACGTAAGCACCATTGAGTTCCTGGCACTTACTCCCAAACAAATAGGTAGTTCTGGATCCTTAATAAAGAAGGAACTCCAATAATACAAAAAGCTCCCTGCATCCAGGTGGCCACACAATACTTATTCATCAGAGGTAAGCAGTTACTTGCAAATAGTTATTGCTGTAAAGTCCTTGCTTTATTTTAAATACGAAGACATATCAGAGCACTCCAATTCTTTTTCGCCTTTGCTTGCTACACTCCCAGTTGAAAAACTTGCTAAGGTATAAGAACTTGATTTGTGCATTACTCTGAAATTCTGTGGGAGTTTTTAAAAAATTATTATTCATGGGCATATGCTGCTGAATAGAGACAGAGATGTGTCCTACACAATCCTTTCACAAAGTGGAATTGTAAAAGAATTCCCCACTCCAAAAAAACCCGCAGAAGCTTAAAAATATGTGCCACTTTAAGAGAGGGACAAAAGAAAAGCCCCAATCAATCTTTGTTAGGAAACCACCTCAGGTATACTGTATTTAAAATAAAAACAAACCAAGAAGAAATCTATGTCATCTCAACCATCAATACTTTTCTAAGAAAAAGTAGTAATAGAATTAATCTCCAATATAAGCCACTTTTATGTCCATATTGGTTATTGGAGAGGGAGGAAATAAAACATTTCAAATGGATAGAGGAAAAACAGAAATTCAGTTCTGCAGGATCAAATCTATATACAGTCAGTCAGTCACCAAAGGAAGCATAGAAAAGGAGAAGGAAGAAGTTACTGTGCACAAATCCAGCCATTATTTAAAAGCCTTTTAGAGTACACTTCCAGTGGTTCTGCAATATGAGTTAATTATCAAGCTGCTTCCAACTTATGTTGACTCTATAAACTAATAACTTCCAAAAGGTCTTGTTATTAACCATGCTCAGATCTTGGAAACTCAAGGCCATGGCTTCATTGATTGAGTCAATCCATCTCATATTTGATCTTGTTTTTGTTGACTACCTTCGACTCCTCTCAGCATTATTGTGTTTTTCCCACCCTACTGAGTTTTGTCTTATTATGATGTGCCAAACTATGACAGTCTCTATTTGATCATTTTTGACACTAGAGAGTGTTTAGGCTTGATTTCACCTAGCACCCACTTGTTTGTCTTTCTGGTGGGCCATGGTATCCATGAAGCTCTCATCCAGCACCATATTCCATATGATTTTTTTCTCTGTCAACCTTCTTATCCATACACTGTATTTGAGAATATTATAGTATAGGTAACCTTGGCCATGGTCTTCAGTGACAGATTGTTGCACTTGAGGATCTTCTGTAGTTTCTTCATAGTTGTCCTTTCAAGTCTCAATCTCCTGCTAATTTCTTGGCTGCATTCTCTATTCAAATAGAGAATTGAGCCAAGGTAGAGAAAATCTTCAAACATTTTGAAATTTAAAATTCAGTTTAATCTCCTTGTTCATAAGTTTAATACCCCCAACCCAAGGATTCTAAAATTATTTAGTTACAGTCAAATTAAATAATTTTGACATTTCAGTTAATTTATTTTGAATCATGCTTCTACCTGCAGCCCTTAAATAAAATCATAAGTAATCCATCACCTATTTCTATAGTATAGGATCAGTTCCTCAGAATAAAAAAGAGCAGGCACTATTGGATGCAGAAAAAATGCCACTATGCAAAATAAAGTCTGTCTGACATGAAAACATATAAACCTACTGAATATGGAATACTAAGCCTATCTACTAGTATGTAAACTCTGTTCAGCTCAGAGGGATTTAGTGCTGATTTAAAGTCCAAAAGCAACCCAAGATCAGGTCCTGTGAAAGCTAAATAATAACTAACTGTGGCGGAACCTCCATGTCATGCCTGTCCATCATAGTGAAAAAGCGAATTTTTCCCCATTAAAAAAACGTTGAGCGATCGCATTAGCGATCTGAAAAAACGGATCGCTATGCGATTTCATCGTTATACGGTGCGCTCGTTAAGCGAGGCACCACTGTAACTAACTGTGGCGGAACCTCCACGTCATGCTTGTCCATCATAGTGAGCTCAAGGGGAGGAGCCTATGAGAGGACAGGAGGGGGGAACCAAAAAGGACAGTTGGACAGTTAGTTAAGCAGTTAGAGAGGAGAGTTGGAGAAAAGAGGTGGGAGACAGGGAATTATAGAGAGAGAGTTAGGAGACTGAGAGAAAGTTATGACAGAGATTGGAAAGTTGGAAGGCTAGAAATAATAGGATAGAGTTCAAATGCATAGAGAATAAATAGAGAATATTGTAACAGTGAAGAAATACACATACCAACCAACGTAAAAACAAATGATATTTAATGAACGATCCTAAACATCTGTGATTTACTCCTGTGATTTGCATAACATATATAATATCAACAAACCCGTTGTATTGGCAGCACGTGTCTAAGAGCTATCTATTTGGTATTGAGAGAATAATACCTGGTGGCACCGTGAAGTGAGGAAACGCATCCAGAGGGTGGACTTGTGTTTAAGGCAAAATAAACAAAGGACACGGGGTGTACGTCACACTAACTAACTGGCCATTTACCTGGCATTGTCATGATGAGGGTTAGAGGAAGTGGCAGCTGCTGATCCACCACGTAACACTGGCCTAGAGCATGGTTTGTAGATAGGAAACACAGAAGAGAAGCAGGAAACAGGGAAAACCGGGAGGGGAAGAACAAAAATCCAGTCAACAACTGTTAAAATATTTCAATTCTATTTACAGTGAAATATCACAAATATAAGTTCAATTATATTTGTGTCACATCTGATTTGTAGGAGTTCTTGTAGGGGGCTCTCAAGTGGATTAATAAATGCTATTCATTGACCAGAATCCTACTGACAATTTACAGCAAATGTACCCAATGTACAAACCAGAAACACATGTAGTATCTCATTAATTAGGAGCCATTTGCCACTGGAGCTTACACAATTCCATTGACATGTGTAAATCAAATCACCAATAGGATTCTGGCCATTTGAACCATAATTGTCTTTTATGAACATTTATTACTAAGGTATGAAGGATCTTGACAATTTATTTGGTTCCTTTCACATGTATAGTTATAGAAAAGACCAAATGAAATCCTCTGGACTTATCAGTTATGCTTAATGCAGGTCTGTCCCATTGATTTCAACAGGTCTGTTTTATTGATGACTAAATTTGGAACCAATTGTTGTTTGGATTTTATCTTGGGGTGTTTTATTGTTTTTGTTTTTTTTAACTGAAGAATACTGTCATTGTTTGCATAAAGATTTATTTTAAACCACATAATTCACTTTTACCCGTTCACTATTTGGTCAGGGAGCAGTCATGTTCACCTTCAAATGCAGGAGGTATTATTACAATAGACTTGCTGTCAAGTCAACCACAGGGGGATGAGGCAGGCCAGAAGAGAATAATCTGTTGTTGCAGATGCAAGGTGATCCGCAGTTACATAAATGTAATTCCATACTAATTGCCAATGTTTGTTTTACAGACGGATTAACAAATATATGGTATCTTCAGCAGGGCTGCAATTCTGTGCAATTCACTAGATTACAGCCCAAAGACATCCACACTCTGTGGCATTTCAAATACAGTACTGCGCCACAATTTTCCATTATTGAGACAGTTTATTACTGACACTTCAAACCACATAGATGTATGTATGAAAAATGTTAATAAAAACTATATTCCCATTCCTGGTCAGATAATACCCACAACCTACCATCACATCAGGGCAACACTTTTATTATACAGAGGACCCTCGACTTACAGATGGCTTGACTTACAGACTTCTCGAGTTAAAGACTTCTCTGGCCGCAAAATTTAGGTTCGATTTGCAGCCGGAGAATCGACTTACAGACCAGAAAAAAACCCCAACAAAATGGAACAAAAACGGAACAAAAATGGCCGGTTACGGGATTAATCGGTTTTCAATGCATTGTAGGTCAATGGAGACTCGACCTACAGGCTTTTCGACCTGCAGCCACCATTCCAATACGGATTAATTCCATAAGTAGAGGGTCCACTGTATCATCTAATAAGAGCACAGAGGTATTTATAAGCTTTTCAGATCCTCAGATTTGTTCATCAGGCAAGATGTTCCATACAAGAATAGGAACATTTTTACATCTTACATGATAAAGAGATCCAGGGCTCTTAAAAGCTTGCACACTTTTCTGAATGGCCTAATAAAAGTGCTGCCCTAATAATCATCATCATTATCATCTTGATTTTGTTCCATAGCCAACATTTCTGGCTCTGTTTTTTGTATAGCCTATTAGAATTTTATTCTAAAGAACAAAAGAATAATCCAGAAACAGGTAGTATTATAGCCAACTATAGGAAGATTCTGTCTTACTTTATGGAGAATAAACTTCTTAAACTACCAAAATAAAATCCTTTACTTAAGCGTTTATATTGTTGAGATGTTCACTTAGATTTTACAGTATATATTAATTTCCTCCAGTTTTTTTATTCCCAGTTTAAGGATTTCAAAAGGCTCACTTCCTTTAGCTGTGAATTAATAAACACCTATCACATGTTTTCTTCACGTTTCTGGAATGGGAATACATAATGTGTCCTGGGCAAATTTGTTGCTCTTACCTGTGTGCTCTACAGTTTACGGTTACATAACTTGGGTTCTGATGGTAGTGATTTAGTGACCCTAAATATCTTGGGTTAAGGAACTGACATTTTGCCATTTGAACAGTCTTCCCTTGACCATGAGAAAATCTACTCATCCCTCTGTACACCCCATACTTTTTATGCTTCCTCTCATAAACAACAGGTCTCTAATTTTTTTCCTGCAGTTGTGAGATATGAAATATATATGCTTCTATGATAAGAACAAAGAAATTTGGGAGTCTTCCAACTACTAAATTCCACAAAGATGCTGAAATTAATGACCACACAGTTTTCCAGATTCTTTGTCTACCACACACCAGATCTAAAAAATCATCTCAGTCTTCACTTTTCCAGGCATTTCCAGCATCTATTATTTGCACTTCTGTGAACTAAAATTTTGCTAGATATTTTTCATCTGGTTAATTTTCCCATAACTTTCATAAAAATACTTTTACCACTTTGTTAGTTATTACACAATTTTTAGTCACACAAATAATTTTGCAGAATTGATGTACACACCCCGCGTGACTAAATCTGGACAATTTTGCCTTTAGTTTATAGAAAATATTTCCAGAGTCATGCATCTTAAGCTTTTAATTACCATTGGTGTAACAAAGGTATTGCCCTAACATGTAGCTATTTATAGAACCTAATGGAAACTAATGGGTGCGCTCATAGTTTTACTTCCAGATTCAGATTAAAATTTTAACACTGAATATTGGCTTTGTGTCATCTTTCTGCAGAAAACTACTGACAGTAAGAATTAAGAGTACATGCACATATATGTCCACTATCACGAAATATGTAGATCCACTATGAAAGACATAAAATAATTAATATAATTAATGATACTGATGACATAGCTAGTGTTGCCCACAAATAATTCATTCATCAAAATTACATGTGTTAATTTCAAAGCACCAGGAGAAACATTACAGAATTCTCCACAACAGATAGGTAATACGAAGGAAAAAAAGCAGGCACTTGTTCTCTGAGGGAACATCCCTTCCACTACTAAGCTACCCAACTAATTTACAGTCAACCCTCAACTTACGAACGTCCCTACATACAAACTTTTCGATTTACAAACAGCTCCGTTCACAAAAATTGGCATTGATTTGCGAACGGAACCTCGACCTACGAACGAGGTTGAGGCTCCGTTCGCAAGTTGATACCATTTTTTCTGAATGGAGCCGTTCGTCATCTTCATAGGTCTCAAAGGGCTTCCCCCCCGATGTCAGGGGGAAAGCCCTTTGAGAAGTCCGAAGGTGTCAATCGTGGTGGCGGGGACCCCAGGGAGGTCTCCCAGGGCTTTCCCCGCCACCATGGTTGGCCTAGCAGAAAAATTACCACAGTAGAGAGGTAGATTTTGGAATCTTATGGCCAACACTGCTTTTCTAAAGGACATTTCTTTCATTACTAATTTGGACTCATTTTGAACTGGCACTATAGAACAGCAGTCCCCAACCTTTTTAGCTCTGCAGACCAGCTGGGGAAGGTGGTGCACCCTTGCACTCATGTGCATGTGCGAAGGGGTGGTGGAGCACTCATATGGGTGCAAGTACTAATGGGCTGTGCGGGGGGGGAATGCATGCAGGGGTGGAGGGGAAGACTGTCTCCGCGGCCCAGTCCAGCTCAGACCACAGACCTGCATCGGGCCACGGACCAGGGGTTGGCAACCTCTGCTCTAGAAGACATAAATACTTATAATCTATTAGAAACCAAGGTATGTTATACACAAACGCAGGGGTACCATGTGAATGAGAGACACAGAAAGAGAAAAAATACAAGAAGCTGCTTCCTGGACTTTCCAGAAGACCAGGTGCCCTGACTGCTGACAACACTGAACTGTGTACTCTTACATCAGAATTGAAAATTAAAATATAATAACTTTATTAGCAGACTTTGTAATCCAATGCACAATTTATACTCCCCAAAATATTTAACTTTTCTGCTGTGGATTAGCAGAAAACATACAGAAAGCCATCAGTACCTGGGTTCCAACATAATTCACACCAATCCCTGTCTTTCCCTCCTTTTTTCCTGACCTGGCATTCTAAGCAGCACAGAGAGGCTGGAACTAGCTACCATTTAATTTTCCCACAGTATCGCTTTAGGGCACTATGGAAAGTTTAAAAAAAACATTAGTCTCACCAGCTCTGCTACTGCCTGCCTGTGCTACCAGGTAAATAATACCTGTATGCCATCCAGTCAACTCTGACTTATGCTGACCTTTCTCAAAATTTTCTCAGTTTAAAGTAGTAATAAGTGGTCGATTCAGTGCCACCTTCTGGAGCTGCTCTGGGACTTTGCAACCTATCCAAGGCTATACAGGCTGGTTCTGCACTCAGGAGGCAGTAGGGAGACCAACTTTTGATCCCTAGCTCCACAGTCGAGTATCAACTCACTGAGCTATCTAGTCACCTCAAATTTGGAGTCGGACTTCCTAAGAATTCTATGCTGGGGCAAAGCATCCTGCCTCTGAGAGTCTCCTTAGTTCTTCAGCTGCCAGCCTGTCCCCTTCTCTGCATGGATTTCCATGAATTAGCATACACAGAATTTCTAATCCCCCAGTGCTGCCCAGCTGGTGCATAAATTTAAGGCCATCATTAATCTGATATACACTAAAGCGCTGTCTTCATAATGGGTTAGTATTCATACAATTACCAGTGTAATCAAACATTGGTAAATCTTCTAAAGACTGGATTTTCATCAATGTTATTTTTTAAAGGGAAAAAACTAATTTAAAAAACATAGCTAGGCATTCTTCAGTCTGAAGACACTATGGTAACGTGCTCTGAATCGACACTGTATGCGAAACTGGAGTGTCCTCTCCAGAACACGAGGCTTGGGTAAAATAATACGGAGTGCAGGCTGTTACCCAAGCAGCAAATCCCCCCTCTCCACATCACTGAAATAGCCCAGTGGAAAGGCAAGAGCCAATACAACTGGTTCCAGTGATGTCGCAGGAGTTGCCAGAGTGTGACTGAACTGAC